CGTTTGCATTTGTAGAGGTGGAAGGCCTTGATTTGCCCTATTACGATGATATTTTAATTCTTCATTGATGATCTCACGCCTTATCATTTTAAGTAAGTCACTATAACTCGTAGGGTCTTTGTTTTGCACATCCCTCCATAAGAGAGAGTTCATATCCAATCCTCTCCTTAAGACTAGTAGTGCCTCCCTATTTGTGATTTGCATGAAGTAGGTCATCTCGTTAGTAAAATGAGATAGAAAATTTTTCAATGCCTCCCCTTATTGCTGCCTCATTCCATGAATACGCTATATTGGCTCTTTGCCCATTTTACTCGTGGCGAAGTATTTAAGGAAAGCCTTCTTGAATTTCGACCAGCTTCAGATGCTTTTCTCTGGGAGCATGGTATACCATACTTCAGCTGCTCTACTTAGAGTTAAGTGGAATGCTCTACACTTCATAGTAAGGGTGGCCCCTCTCAGGTTTATATGAGTTTTAAAATTGTTGAGGTGTTTTATCGGATCAATTGTTCCACGTATTTGGGGACAGAGTTTGGGGAGCTTAAAGTAATTTAGGACAAGAGTAACTAATCCCTTGGAAGAATGGGAGATTATCATCATCGTCAACAAGATTGCAGGACCTTTGTAGCTTGTCAAATCATCATCTTCTTTGACTTACGTTTCTCAAGGTAGTTGAGATGGTCCTGTCTATTCCTTGACTGTTCTGCTATCCTCTTGTGCTTATTTCTAGGTGGAGGATTTGGAGGCATGTTATCAACTGGTTCATTTTGTCTTTCGAGCTGAAGTGGTCTTTGCTGCCTATTTATAGGCGCAGAATGAGGTTGAGCATGCCTATTCCTAGGTAGCCTTAGGCTCAACCTATCGAACATGTTTACTGACCTTCGAGACATACCTTTCGGATCATATTTGGGAGAAAAATTGAATGGAACCTCATGAGGTTGATTAGTAGCATAATTGGTCGATGTATTTACCTTAACTTTCCTTTCTTAAGGAACTCATCCTTGGTGTATTGCAGATATCCAGCCGTTTAAATTGGACCTTCTCTTCACCTTGGTAGTAGTTTCCTTATAAGGGGCCGTGGAATGTGTTTCATTGAGCTGCATAGGGAAGAACTGGGTATCTTTCTTGGCCTTACATGCTCCTTAGTAGCTCCTGTATGGTAATGTCTTTTCGGGTATGCTTCTCATATATGTGACCATAGTGGCTACTTCCCTGGTGAGTCTAGCAACAATCATAGATCTACCTCTTCTATACAACTGATGAAATCGATGGCAAGTTACAAGAACAACTAACGAGGGTTCGCTTTCTTTAGGGTGTTTCTTGGCTCTCTGAGGTGCTGACTCTTTATTGGTGGAACTCATGGCAGTGTTTCTGAATAACTTAATTTTTTGGCATTTTGATTTCTCTTTGCTCATGGAATTTACCAAATGCTTTCAAAGGAAAAATTCCATTCGGCTTGGTTCTACCAAGCCTCAAACCGGACCAACTCAAGACTTTTTTGGGGATCGGTAAGCCGAATTGCCATACCTACCTTCTACCATATTTCTTGTCAAAAGTGCCGAATTTTGTTTGCATAGACACGAGTGAGCCCTAAATTTGTTGTCTACATAACCAGTGCAAAAGGCGAGGTCAACAGATTTTTGATGAAAATTAACTGTTCTTGAAGAAAGAATACCAAGTACTCCCAAGTAGAATTTTCCCTTTGAAAGCATCTCGTAAATTCCATGAGCAAAGAGAAATCACAGTGCCAAAGAACTAAGTTATTCAGAAACATTGATATCTGAGATTTTCAAATGTTCGAAAGTTACTCTATTCAATCCTTTTCCTTATTCTTTTTTCTCGTTCGTACAAAGTGCTGAAGGCAGTACTTAAGGCAGCCAGCAACAAATGCTGCCTTTTAAAATAGCCAACTGCTGCATTAAAATGTAGTAGTTTGGTTAATAACTCAAATGGTTATTGAACTTTATAAAAAGTTTTCATGAGACCACAGAACTTTAAAAATCATCCAAGTCATCATTGAATTTTGCAAAAGGTTTTCATGGGTCATTGAACTTTAAAAATCATCACATTCATCATTAAACTCTAAATTTCCACGAGGTCACTAAACTTTGCAAAATGTTTTTCAGGGATCACTGAATTAGTGATCCTCTAGGAAAATTTTTGCAAAGTTTAATGATGATTTTTAAAGTTCAATGACCATGTGAAAACTTTTTGCAAAGTTCAGTGACCAATTAGGTTATTAACTTGCAATAGTTTACTACTAAAAAAAATTGAGCCTATCTTGCTCGCTTTGGCTCGAAAAGGCTCTAGCCGAAAGTTTGGGTTGAGCCTAAATTTTTTGACCAAGCAAAAGCTCGACTCGGGTTCGAAAAAAAGCTCGCGCCATTTTACTTGAGCCGAGCCCAAGCCTTAAGTTTTGGCTTTCGAGCCGGCTCACTCGGCTTGTTGATATCTCTAGTCGGAGGCTTACGACAATAATGAACATGGGAAATGCTCTATAACACGAGACAAAGACGTTCAGTCACCAACAATGTGATCAAGTATGATCATAAATAAAATGATAAATTGCAGACAACTCCGTCGAAAAAATATAAGCGATTAACGAAGTCAAGCATGTAAAGCAAAAGACTTAGAGTGTGTTTGAATAACGTGAAAATAATCACCTAAAAAAGAAAATGTTTTCAATGTTTGAGGAAAACAAGAATCTGCTGTCCTAAAAAAATATTTTCTTTAAAAACAAGAAAAATCAGTCATATTTTTAAAAGTTGAAAATTATTTTCAATGGAAAAAAATAGCAAACAAATATCCAAAGAAAGAATTTGAGTGGAAAACTGATGTTTTTTCATGAAAAATAAATATAATCGAGTACACCCTTAGTGACTTTGTATGTATGAAGTTTGCATGTATTTTTTTTCATCCTTTGAATTGTTACTAGATCTGCTATTTATAATATTATAGCTGACATGGTGGCCGTTGAATTAGAACTTCATGCCTTCATCTCGTTAATCGAAGTCTTACATCACTCTGCCACACATTAAATACATTGACAGGGAGTCAACTGCCCTATATTCTAGGCTGACATTCCTAGCAATTACTAATACAAACATTATATCAATCATTCCTACAGATATTTAGCGGATTTTAAAGGTAGCATGAACTTTGTCTCAGACATAAGGCCTCGTACAAGTAGAGGTTTAGCTAGAAGGAAGAGTGCCTCGGCAATAAGTTTGGCTACAGAGCTTTTTCCTTTTCCTTACCTTGTCAGCTCCTCCACGTGGCTTCGTCATGGCTCCACGTGGGAGCTATGGATACGAGGCATAACAAGTATATTCATACAACAATTTTTGTTAAACAAACCACATTTAAATTGGAATAAAAGTCTCTAACCATAGTTATTTTTGTATTTATGTCTCAAATATTTTTTAAATGCAACATTTTCAGGCCAAATCAGAGTTCCATGTGCAATTCTGTTGACTAAAAATTCGAATTTTATTTGACACATAAAAGCATTATTAATAGTTTATATACGGTTATTTACGTCCTAAACTCTTGTCGTATATACACTTCATGTCTTTAGCATCAGAGGATGTCGAATATTCTTAAAAACATAACAAAAACATGCAAAAATCTCTCGCCTAGATTTTATAGACAAGAAGGAAGAAGGAGAAAAACTTGAAGATTCAAAGAAAGATGGATGATTCAACTCTAATCCTTTTTTTCATCTTATAAAAATTCGGTGATGTTCTTCTTATACTTTACGTGCTTGTACTCGATGAACATGCTAGGCTAAATTTCATAATTAGTTCAAACGATATACCCTAATTTTAATGGTTTAACTTTTTGACTGACTTTTAAATGATATTTTTTTATGCTCGTTTTCATTGATTGAACTTATAGACTCTTGCTTTAGCATCATTTGAATGATTTGTTAACCAAATGAGATCGATGGGTTTATTTATGAATTTAGACCAAAACTAAGAAAATCGTAAATTTGGACACGAGATGGAGATATACTCCGATTGTTGTGTGATAACGTGAGGATTTTCTCTTCTTTAATGGAGACATATTCCTATTGTTGGTTATATTTGTGATACTCACAAAGAAATATTAAACTTTAATTACTAAGTAGTTTTGATTTTACTCGAGAGATACTATCAAGTAAATTAGATGAATCTGATCATATATTTGCCAAAGTATAAAAGAGTGAAATTGGCCCCCGTTTGGCACCCATTAATTTTAATTGCATTTTTCTTTCTCCTGTTTTCAATCATAGAATCTTCCATCAAATAATATTACACGTAAATCGAAAACGTTTTATTATTTTTCTATCATTCATTTTTCAAAAAAATAATATTCTAGCCGTTTTCATTTTCACAAAATGGGACCAAAAGGGGGCTTTAAATCAGATAAACTATTGAAGTCATGAAATCTTAACATCTCAATTTTCTTTACTTCAATTTCCAGCCAACAACATGGTTTTATTCTTTTTAAGTAGATTAAGTTTAACGCACTCGTCTTTTCAATTTATCGTTCAAATAAAGATAAAATTATTAATTTCAATATTTTTAGTAAAATAGTCTTCATGGGATTAAACCTGAACTATGGTCCACTTTTAATATTTTGTTGTGTTATCGCTTACTTACAATTTTGTCAAATATTATCCATACGGATGCAATCACTGAAATTAAGAATGACAAAATTACTCGTCGTATTGCACTCGCAACATTAAAGAATTGAGATAGGCACGAAAAACAATATCTATTTATTTATTATTATTATTATTATTTTTTAGTTGTGAGTAAGAACCTGTTTGGTGGTGATTTAGAGAATTGATTTTTTGACCGTTAGGAAAAAAGTGGGGTCCACCTGTAAGAGAAGAAATCAAATATGACGGCTAAAATAGTGAAATAGCGATCAAAAAATCAATTTTTTTGGTGAAAAAATGGCTCCCGAACAGACCTTAACGCACGTTTTTTATTTTTCTCCCCCGAAACTCATATTTCAGCCGACTAACTGGCAAATCAAGAAGATGATGGAAGAATCCCGCTTCGCTACCGAAATATTTTTATAAATCCTTACTTCTGAAGAAAAAACCCATGCGGCGGAATATATATTTCCGTATACAAATTAAAAACCTTAATCACTAAGAAAAATTCACCCAAAAGACTATTTAAAGCCATGAACAGCTGACAATTTACTCCCTCTCAGGCGCCGGAACATGGCGGGTTCAATTTTTAGGGCGACCTTCACTTCGTTCTTCGAAAAATGGCTTGTTTCACAACAAACCCATCTCGAAGAACTTCATTTCCTTTCGGAATCGATCAATAAAGATGAAGAAGAATGCAAAGATTTGGTCGCAAAAGTTTTATCCCATTACCAAAAATATTACCAAGAGAAGACTGAATTAGTCAATTCCGATGTCTTTTTGTGCTTTTCTCCGCCATGGCTGAGCTCTTTCGAGCGCAGTTTGCTTTGGATTTCTGGGTTCAAACCATCTATGGTTTTCCCGCTGGTGAAGAACTCAGTGGGAGAATTTTTATCAGAAGAACAATCCCACAGGATTGAATTGGCGAGGGCTGAAATTAGAAGAGGAGAAAGAGACATCGAACAAGCACTGGCGAGAATTCAAGAGAGTTTGGCTGAACCACCAATTTTTTATCTGATGAAGAAAATGGGAAAATTGGTGGACGGTGAGGTAACTGAGTTTGATACAGCAATGGATGATTTGAAGAAATCAATGGCTGTCATTATAAGTGATGCTGACGATCTTCGTGCATCAACGGTGAGGAAGATCGTGGAGATTCTGAGCCCAGTGCAGAGTGTCAAGTTCTTAGCTACTGCTGCTGAGTTTCAACTTCAATCAAGAAAATTGGGTTTGCAGAAGGAATCAACGGTTGCAAATCAATCTGCATGATCACGAATATTTTCTGTTGTATGTTAGTATTTGATCATGTTTAATTTCTACTGAATATGGCTTCAATTAAGGAAATTGGGAAAACTTGGGGCCTTTTCTCTGCTTTCTGAAGTCGTTAAAGTAATAAAATGGTTTAATTTTGCTTTTCATTAATTTTTTAGCTGTTACTTCATTCTTGATTATTGGTTTAATTTCAAATTCAATCACAATTTGATATAATTTTAAGCTTTAATTTCTATATGCCAATAGAATTAAGAAGTGACTAAAGTTTCAATTTATGAAAATTAAATTATATTTTTTCAGAAATATGTAGGAAGGATGGGGGCCAGAGCAAGTTCGGTTGTGATAAGAGAGCCTATCTCTTATTATTTATTCCACAAATTAGGGAGTCTAATTAGTAATTTAATTTTTCTCGATATCTCTGAATTTCTAAAAACTTAATGTCGACGAAAGTTGTTTCACCACCATAGACCGAATTGATGCATAAAAATTTCCCACCCCATTCGGTGAACATATTCGGCGATTCAAATCCAAGATGAGAAGAACGATCAAAGGCTTAACGATAGTCTTAGCTATTGCATTGTTGCAGGAAAAAAAGGCCTCGAAAACGCCGATCCAAGTGGAGAAGATTTGGGGAAGTATGTGACTTTATGGTTAAGCTGAATTATGAAATCATTGATAGAATTTATTGGATAGTTGAGTTGGTGTTACATACCTTGTTTTGAGCTACTCTTGGCTGTTATATACAGTCAAAGTCAGTAGCTCGGAATAAAATTGAGTTAGGTTCTGCTTTGCTTGCAATTGATCTTGGTTTGATGGGACCAAATTACTCAATTTATGGGATTTTCTTTTTTCCTCTTTTATTTATTTATTTATTTATTTTATTTTTTTTTTGGTAAATTGTTGTTGGGGGCGACGGGAAGAGGCTCAATTGAATGGGTTGGTATTGGCTGAGATTGTATATTGGAATCGGAAGTGGGGTTAGAACCCTAGGACTGAGTTGGAGATGAAGGTTTAGAATCTTGAAATTTGTTGTGTCTGGGTCTAATCACACAAGGTGGCTATAGTTGTCACGGCCAACGACGACAAAAAGGCGCAGTACTGCATTGAGAAGATGAAATTCAATTGTTTGTGTTTCGCGCGGGTTAGTCGCTAACAATTAAAAAGGATCAGACGATTGTGTAAGGGACGAAACCTCTTGAGACAAAGTCCCAAAAAGGGGTGTTCTTTTATTAGTGATGACTTTACAATTGGAAATGAAAAACAACGTGCCTCCAAGGGGCGCAAGCACACAAGTTACTGAAAGAAAAGTCTTTAAGTCTAAAAACTAAGGAAATGAAAATTACATGTTCTCTGTTCGAGAGTTTTGAATTTGGTCCTTTGCTTCTATGCCCTTTCTCCCTTTTATACTTCATAGACGATCTCCTTGTGATCAACTACTCTAAAAATTGCTTGATCGTCCTATAACTATCCACTTTCTTCGTAATGGCCACCTTATCATGAAAACTGCCTTTTAACTGCTGTCATTACCCTTCATCGTTCAACTGCTTTCGATTGAATTCTTTGAGTGATAGGGCTGCTTTAATAACTGCTTTGATAACTGCACTTCTTGATAATCACGACGCGTTACGTTTGTTAATACCTTGGGCGACTTGAAGGTTTGGGCGAGAATAGAGTATCAGCTCTGGGCGACTGTATGACACTCCATTCGCTCAGATTTTGGGCGACTTGCAAACTTGGGCGATGGCGTTACCGCTTTCTTGGACCTCCTTATTTGGGCCTTCATCTTGATTTGTTCGATTGAGCTTCGTTCTTTGGGCTATCTGATTTGGGGATCCTCCAATTGGGCTTCACTCTTTGGGCTGTCTGATTTGGGCTGAATTTTTATGTGTCAACAATTACCCCCCAATATGGCAGAATTAATAATAATTATTGAATTTTGCCATATTCACTTTGTGTTTCCAGCAACATTCGAAATTCCCAAGAATTTCAATCATTGTTTCCTTCTATAACTTGAAAAAGTGTGTCGTTTTGCAAACCCTTATAAACCTCAAACACGTCATTTCATTGCCACCAAACCACGCCTCATATTTTTTGCGTCTCTTTCATGATTCACTGTTCATCTTTTGCTTCCCTGCTACGTAACCCTGAAAGTTTCGTTCCTTCTCAAATGGCTGCTTCACAATCTCAAACTAGCGATTCCTTTAGTTTTTATGACTTTCAGAAATTTCTAAGTCGCCCATACATAACCCCAAGTTTTCTCGCGCCCGCCGACGTTGGACGTAATGAGTTTTACTTGGTTCCTTTTTTCAACAATGCGGCGGCGGTGGGTCAGCTATTTCCTTGCACTCATGGCCCTCCTTTTCTAAACTCTCTGCCGCTGGGGCCACTTCGCGAAAGAGGTATTCGCACTTGGCCTAAATCTGATGTAGCTTTTCGTACGTGGCATGCTCGCCTTGTGGGTCATGGTCCTACTAAGGCACTTTTTGATAGCGCTAGGATTTCTGATTTGTTGAAAATCTCTATCCGCCCCCCTACTTTTGATTCAGCACTCTTTTCAATTGCTTTGAGTTTTTGGTCTTCTGAGTATGACACCTTTATTTTCCCTCTTGGCCCCATGTCTATTACCTTAAGGGATGTTGGGGCTTTGGTGAATTTGCCATCTTTGGGCGATACCATTTTTCCTGGTATCTTAGTTTCTGGTGGCGCCCCAAAATTTGGTAGAAACTACACCGATTCTTATTCAAGTCTGCAGACCCTCCACAATCATTCGAGCGCTGAGCCTACCCATACTGAGCAAGTGGCCTTCCTTTTAGTTTGGTTTTGTAAATATGTTTTGTGCATGCCAAGTATAAAGCCCTCTCTGAGTTATTTACCTATAGCGCACGAATTGGCGCATGGCAGGCCTTTGAATTTATGTTCTTTGTTTTTGGCTGCCTTTTATAGAGGCATGGCCTCTCTTCAAGCTCAATTGAAGAATGGTGCATCTCCCACTGGCAGTGGACCTCTTTGGTTCACTCAACTGTGGTTGAGATCTTATTTTCCATCGCTTGGTGCTCCACCTATCTCTCGCTCTTCTGCTAGCTGTTATGGGCTAGCCATGGAGCCCTTAACTCCTGTAAATATGTCCAGGAGGGACATTTTTTCATTCTTTTATTCCTTGGATTCAATCCCTTCCTTTTTTCCTTTTCTTCCTTTTTTGACTCCAAACTATGTACATCCCCCCACCATAGATAGCGCGAGCACCTCCCTGATCATTTGGATCCAGTTTTTAACTGGGAGGGAGCTATTTCATGATATTCTAACTGGGACTAATGCCAAGGCAGGGGTAGAGATTTATGCTCCCCAATTTTTTGCTCGTCAACTTGGTTTCGGCCAAATTTGGCCTGTTCCTCCTTGTTATTCAAAGAATTTAGTTGACCGTTTTTATACCATTAATAAGGCGGAGGAAGAGGCTATAGATGCTCGTAATCTTCTTTTAACCAGTCATTTTTCATTAGCCCCTATCAATTCTAGCCACGCCATTCACCCTATTTTTGAACAACTCTGGCCGTCGATGAAGCGCAGATTATTTGCGACTGACGCCAATCGTGCCTTTCATTCATTAGACCAACCGAGCATTTCTTCTCCTCCTCCTGTTTTGGTCACTCCTTTGTCTGTTCGGAGCCCCTCTCCTTCTCGTCGCACTAAACAGTCTGCTTGTCCATCTTCTTCTCTCCCTGCCAAGCCTACTACAGCCAAGAGTGCTCCAAGCCGCAAACGGCCAGCCTCAGCATCTCCCATCTTGGAGGATGATGATGATGATGCCCCTCTTATCGTCAGGAGAAAGGTAATTAAAGTGTTTTACTTACAAGTATACTTTTCACATTTGAAACTTTTCTGTGTACTGATGATCTTTTGGACTTTTCAGAAAAGCTCAGCCTCTCCTTCAAAAGCTTTGGCATCGACAGCTCTTGCTCCATCATCTTCTGTTGAGGCTACTTCATCCAAGCCGGTTGATGAGGGAACTACGCTTAAAGAGACATCTTCAGTCCCAGAGTCCTCATCACAACCCATGGATGAGTCACCTTCTTCCCAGGGCGTCAACCCCCCAAACATTGAAGCAGAAGGTAATTCAGTTTTTTGATATCTTACCTTTGCTCGTGCTGTTGGTTTCTGATTTGTTGCTCTTGAGTTTTGTAGATACTCTTATGAGTCCGCCCGTTGTGGCAACATCTTCTCGCTCAGACAAGGGGAAGTCCTCACGAATGGAAGAGTCATTGGTGGCAGACTTGGTTGAGGGCATGTCATCTTCCACGATTGTTGATGAGGTAGTCTTTGCTTCACTTCTATTTCTATTTTGTTCGTTATAGTGAGCATCTTTAATATTGGCAATGTTCTTTGCAGGATGCTGACAGGATAGTGCGTTCTATCCAAGACTTGTTCGCTTCTTGGGGGCAAGTCCAGACGTCTTGTCCTCCTCCATCTGATCGTCCTGCTGCTTCTTCAGAGGAAGATTTGAAGTTCTTGAAGGAGTCGATATTTGAGTACGTATCATTTATGGATATGGATATTGGAAGGGCTAGTGCTGCCAGATACAAGGATGAACTTAAGCACTTGAGTGCGAAGTTGGAGCAAGCACTGACGCTTCCGTCGCTCAATCTTTCTGTCGATTTTAAAGTGACGTTGAAGGTTATCCACTCCGAGGTCCTTTCTATGCTGGCCAAGAATGCTGAACTAAAGGCCAAGCGTACTCAATATCTTCGAGCCGTAGCTGAGAAAGAGTCTTTGCGTATGGAGATTAACAAGGCTAAGGACGAGTTGAAAGAAATCTCTTCTGAAGTTATGGTTGAAGACTCTTTGATGGTTAACTTAGCTGCTGAGATGAGGGAACTTCAAGCTAAAATGGACGACTGCAGGGCGAGAATGGCTGCTAAAAAGCGCAACGCCTCCCAGGGAATTGAGCGAACTAATTCCTTGGTTGAGCAGTACAAGAAGTTGGAAGTTGATGATGATGTTGCGGCTGAATTGAACATCACTTTCTCTCGGCAGAACGAGGATTGGGAAAAACTTAGGGAACGAATTCGTTCAGTATGGGGTAGACTGTAATTAAGACATATGATGTCTTTTTCTTTTGTAATTCGATTTTTTCCCTTTGTAACTTTGTTCATCAT